TTGAAAGGCAAGATGCCAATATATATACAGATGATGTCAGAAGAATAATTCTATTCCCTAACATATTCCTACAATCTCTAATCATATAAGGAAAGAAAATATACTGTAATAAATTTACAATATTGGGAAATCGGCAACGTGAATTAATTTATATTTTCTTTAACAAAAAGAGGTGGAGAAACCTAGCAGAGAATTGGGACGAAAGAGGTCGAAAGTCTGGGCAGTATAGGGATAGGGAAAGGGGTGGGGTGGTGAAGGAAATTGGAAATTTATGTGGGAAAGGACGGGAGGGTGGAACAGGCAGATGGTTGGTGTCGGAGCCGCTTGAAAGGGTGGTTTTCTTTCTCTATTTGGAGTTTTCTATTTTTATTTTTCCTTCCTTTATTTATAATATATTTGTACAAAGGTGCAATTGCATTTACAATTCCTTCAAAGTCTTTAGTGGGATGCATGAAAGAGACGTCGTTTCTTGGAATACCATGATCACTGCTCTTATGCAAAAGGGGTTGGACAATGAAGGTTTGATGCTAGTCTATGAGATGCAAAAGCAGGGGATTTCAATTGATGGCGTAACAAGTATTGCACTGCTTTCGGCTGCATCAAATCTAAGAAAACAGAATATCGGTTAAGAGACTCGTGCTTATTTAAGTAGGCATGGTATTCAATTTGATGGGATTGGCAGTTATCTCATAGACATATATGCCAAATCAGGTTTGATACAAGCAGCACAAACAATCTTTTGTAGGAGCTGCTAGAACAGCATGTCATGCCCAACGCTGTGACCTTAGCTTCAATTCTCCCTGCATGCAGTCACTCGGGAAGTGAAGCACTAGGAAATTTACTCCACGGTCTTTCCATTCGCAATTTCTTGGACATTGATGTCTTTGTCAGCTCTGCTCTGGTAGATTGACATCAGCTTCTGTGCAGAGAGGAAGAGAAAAGGAGAAGAAATCAGCTTCAACCAACCTATTGGTAGATTGACACCGACCACCGTGGGAGGATCATCTTGCAGCAATATAAAGTCCTCACAGAAGGCCTATCAATGGTCAGTGAGATCGGTAATGCCATATCCCTAGTAGACACGGGTGATGGAGAATGGGGATACTGATGCATGATAAATTTAAAAGGGCTGATGTCCATTAGCCATCGATCAAGGCTGTCAACCAAGACAGCTTAAAAGCCTTTAAAGGCTACCTTGTAGCCGTAAAAGTCTTTTAAGGCTACACTTTTAAGGCTGCAAAAGACTATCACTTCCATCAGCCTTCATTTATGAAGGTTTCTTCAAAAAAAAAAATTGAGCTGCGCGAGCCGTCGATACAATTCTGGCTTCATCAAAAAACTTTATGGATGGTCTTGAATCGGCCGGAAAATCTCCACAGGCTGGGTCTTCAAGACTTCAACGGTACGGGGTCTTATTGATTCTTTATCTTGATTGGTCGATTTGAGCCGGCCCACCCCTTCTGACACCACTAGCCGGAAGGATAGATGCACATACGAGTGTTGCTAGGACTAGAGCCTATGAGGAGTGAGGATAGTTCTAGTGCATTTCTCGCAATATGATTGTCTTCAAGACTTCAACTTGTGATGAGATCTCTCACTCATGATTGTGGATATAGTGGATTCGCCACTTTGAGTCAAATAAGTTAAGGTATAAGCTGCAAATTTCTTTATTTGACTTATAAGCTACGAGATCCACAGTGTGGGAATTTTTGTGGTCCTCAACTTACAGAAAAACTATCCCCTTTATTTTTTTATTTTTACCAAACATGAAAGGCAAGTCTGAGCAGCTATCTTTGAACCCGTCCTAGTTCCCAATAAACACTAATAATTTTAAGGGTTATGCTACATGTACTCCTCATGCATTACACAATCATTTACACCCTTCTCACATGGAGGGGGGGCCACGATTATTTTATTATGTGTGGACCCCTCTCCATGTGAGGAGGGTGTAAAGGATTGTGTAAAAAATTATGTACACATAGCTTTATTCTAATTTTAATGGTTATTCTAATGCTAGGCCCAAGTGGCCTCATAGTGTAGGCCTAGGGGTGTAAGCGGTCCGATTTTTGCGATTTTTGACAAATTTTCAAACCAAACCGTTTTGAACGGTTTGAGAAAAGCTCAAACCTAAACCAAACCGTTTTGACCGGTTTGAAAAAAACTCAAACCTAAACCTAACGGTTTGGTCCGGTTTTAAACCGCCGGTTTCGCGTATATTTTTTTCCTGTCTAGTATCTACTTTTATGCCATTAATTCAATATATAT